TAATTTTTTAGGTTTTAGATATATATATATATATATTTTGAAATATCCAAAAATCATAAATTGCTATATCAGTACAACAGAATTCCACTATAATTTATCCAGCTTAGTAACTAAACTGTATTTGGATCTAAAAAAATATGAAATTTTGATCTCACTGATGTCTTACCTTGTCACTTGGAATCCAGCACGAAAAGAAAGAGTTTGCCACGCATATACTTTGCAGATGCTGAGCAAACCACTAGGGGGACATTCTGAGCTTTTGATAGGTTATACTCATGTCATTGGGCGAAGTAGGAGTGTGTAAGCACATATTTTCAAAAATTGAAGAGGTGGGCTTGGTTGATTCAATAAATATATTAAATCTCAGAAAATAGAAAAGATATCAGGTTCTTCTTTTACATTCTAGCTTGTCAATATCAGTAATTCAAGTATCTAATTAGTAAGAAACTATAGACTTTTGTTATTTGGACATCACAAACATTAATTTGAATCAATTCTGCATTCAACATACCACACAAAAACAATATTTAGGATTTTTTTTAATATTTATAAGTTAAGAAATTAACTAAAGGATCTTAACTAAAATTTGAATTATAATTTACAGTTTGATACCAAACTTTTTGACATGAATTCATAAAATAGTAGTTCAATGCTAGTCAACAAACACGATGATATGGATTTTGACCTGTGACCCGTGTCGGTAGGGTTAATATTGGGAGAAAAAGCTTCAATTAGTTTTATGACATTGCATATTCCTTGTTATACTGGTATATTATACTATGTAACTAAACAGTGCTGGAGTGTCTCATATATATAAATGAACTATTCTGTCATGGGTGGCTGTTATACAGAAGGGAAGAATTAGTTTGTGCTCCTAATTAAATACTCGGTGACAGATTTACTCCCCCCTCTCTCTCTCCACATATATTGTATACTATTTTTGAGTTGATGAGAATAATGCTCTGTGAAGGACAGATTATTTGGAGAGGTTGAGTTTTCCTAACCCACTTATTTGTGCCACCTCTGATTATGTACTGTATTTACTAGATTGATTTTTGTATCTAATTAGATAGCTTGCTATTACCAGAAGCTATTGATAATGATAAAAAAAAATTATTTTCAATTTGTACAATTCTTATTGATACCACTGGATTATCAAACTGGTACCTTTTACAGGTACCAAGTAGTAAATTATTTGAAAGTTTATTTGTAGGATTCCCATGAAGCTAAAAATTTGTTGATGAAATAATAACATGTAAAGTACTACACCTAAAATTTCTGTATTGAAACCACATATGTGCAGTACTCCCAACAAATTAATGTCACTAAATATTCTGTAAGCTTTACAAAGTAAGTGGTATAACTCAAGAATCAGGCCAAATTCTGTTCATTATAACTTGTAAAGTGCACGGTAGCTTTGTTTGCTAGAGCACTTGCTCCATTATTAGAGCTTGAGTTCAGACTGTAGAAAAATTTCCAAAAATATATTGTCACATGGCTTAAAATAATCAAATCACTTTATAGCAGTGACTATTTTAAGTTTTATAGCTTAACACTCTCGCTACAGGCATCTTCTGCTTGTGTCATGAGGTTATAGAGATTTACATTCAAAATTTAATTAAAATACTTTATCATGATATATAAATAACTTGGCATCAAAACATAGCTGTTAATCCAAATCTTATAAGGCAATATTAAACAAGGTCCTTAATTTCTGCTAGTATCAGATTTGTGACATTTACTCTCTAGGTATCTCACTCTAATATACTTACCATCCTTCCAAGGAGTATGAAATTTAATGTAAATTACTCCTTATAACGTTATTGCTCAAGCAAAGGGATAATTTTTATAGATTTCAATATTAATAAT